GCGCGAGATCTCGTCCTCGTCCGTCACCGGCCGGTAGCGGGCGCGCAAGTCCTTGTGCCGGATGTACTGCGGCTTGGTCGACGTGTGCAGCGTGGGGCGCAGCACGCGGAAGAGGCGCTGGCCCGCCTGCCGCAGGTCAGTGCCAGGACACGTCAACTTACACTCGAGGCGCGATGTCACTTCTACGGGTTGGTGCTGCTGCCTCGCCGCCCGAGGACATCTCGAGCGCCAGAATCAGCCGCTGCGAGCGCGTCTGCTGCCAGAAGCCGGTGGCGCCGCCCTGCTGCGTCGACTTGACGGCACGCGACTTGAGGGCCTCGGTGAGCGCCCCGTTGGCAGAGGCGAGCGAGAGGCCGGAGTCCACAGAGAGCGTGTAGTGGACCGTCAGCGCCGAGGAGTTTGGCTCCTTGTGCAGCACCTCGGGCTCCGTGGCGAGGGAGACCTACGCCTCGGCCAGTCCCGGGTCTCTCCCGGGCCCTCTCGGGGCTGGGCCAGCTCCGGCTCCAGGCAGGAGAGGAGGACCGACTCGCCCGAGATGGTCTCGATCGACGGCTCGAGTCGGCCGGTCGCCTGCGCATGAGCAGGAGCTGGTTCGCCATCCATCAGCGGGAAGGGGCAGGGGGGCTCGAGCCGGCCGGCCTTTGCGGTCACGACGACCCACTTGAAGACGGAGGTGTAGTACCTATGGGAAGGTGCGAGAAGGCTCGTGCGACGGCTCCAAGGCACCGCTCGGAAGACGGGAGGCGCGGCGGCACTCGAACAGGGCGTTTTGCGTCTGCACGGGCAGGCCGAGGAGCCGGTTGAGGAACTTGTTGATGTTGTGCCGGTCGGCGTCCGTCTGCGTCGCCAGGTTGGCGTTGAGCACTCGCATCCGCTTGAGCACCTAGCTCATCATTTGGCTCAAGAGTCAGCAAGGAGGGCCCCTCGCCCAGTCCGGACCGAGCCACATCCGCTCGAGCGCCTCGCCCGCCGTCGTCCAGCTCATCTTCGGGGTCGGAGACTTTGGGCAGTCGCCATACACGTTGCGCTCCTGCGGCCGCTGCCTGCTCGAGCCGCTCTGACGCTGGCTGGCCCACTCGCGCAGCTTGAGCACGTACTTTTGCAGGCCCTGAGGCAGGCGCGCCACGTCGCGGTTGCCCTGCGCTTGCTTCTTCTGCGCGACGGCGACAACGGCGAGGCCGAGCAGCGTCGGCACGCCTGCGGGGGAAGGCTCCTGGAAGGCTCCTGGAAGGCTCCTGGAAGGCTCCGCGAGGGCTCCTCCAACGTGCGTACCGAGAGCCGCGTCGGCCGGCGCGCCCTGCCGGTGACTGCAGCATCCGGAGGTATGTCTCGGCTATATCTCGGCTACATCTCGGCTATATCTCGGCTATATCTCGGCTATATCTCGGCTATATCTCGGCTACATCTCGGCTACATCTCGGCTATATCTCGGCTACATCTCGCCCTGCCGGTGGCACTGCAGCATCCGGAGGGCGCGCTCCCACAACGCCGCCGCCTCGGACTTCTCCGCCACCGCGTCGAACATCAGCGCGAGCGCCGTGTGGCCGTGCACCGTGTCGAGGTTGTACTGGACCAGGTCGGCCGCGGCGCCATGCCCGCCGCGCCGGTCGCCGCGGGTGATCGCTCCGAGCATCTCGAGCCTGCGCGCGACCGACGAGGCGAACCGCTTCTCGCCGCCGACGTTGGAGACGAGCAGCACCTACCCGAGATGAGCCGAGATCGGCCGAGACCCGCCGAGATCCGCCGACGCCGGAGACGAGGCGGCACGTAGTGAGGCGCGGTGATCTGGTTCGAGCGGTGCGTGCGCCCAAACTGCTGCAGCATCTTGTCGGCCGACCAGGCGAGCTCAAGCGTGATGTGCAGCCGCTGGCGCGTGTTTGCGAAGCGCGGGTCGGCGTGGAGCGAGATGCCGGACGAGGCGGCGTCCGAGATGATTGCGACGCGCTTCGTGCCCCCCATGAAGGCATCCTTCTCCGCGATGTTGATTTGGTCCTGCGAGACGCCGTTCTGTGCGCGCGCCTCCCAGCGCGTGCCGCCGGCGCCGTCTTTGACGAAGCGCATCTTGCGCCCCGTCATCTCGGCCACGTGTTCAACACCTACTCTCGCCTCGCCTCGCCTCGCCTCGCCTCGCCTCGCCTCGCCTCGCCTCGCCTCGCCTCGGCCGCATCTCACGTCGCATCTCGCTTCGCACCTCGCCGACGCGCCCACCGCGGGCGCACGAGGGAGATGGCGATCTAGGCTATATCTCGGCTATATCTCGGCTACGTCTCGCCAAAGTGGCCGATGACGAGGTCAAGCGCGTTGGAGGGCATGTCGATCGCGTCGAGGCGCCGCAGCAGCTTGTCCCGAATCTGGACCGCCTCGGGCACCGCCGGCTGCTCGAGCAACTCGAAGCCGTTTGTGAGGCCGCCGCCGTCGCGCGGCGCGCCCTCCGCGCGCGTCGTCGGCAGGTGCTGCTCAATCAGCGAGCGCGCAATCTCCTGCGGCGTCGAGACCTCGCTGTCCAGCTCACGGCCCGCGCGGTTCTCCCGCTCCGCTGCCTCGTTGGCCTTGGCCTCGCCGGTGGAGAGCAGGCCGATGACGACGCACTTTCCCTGAGGTAGGGGGAGAGATGGGGAAGAGATGGGGGAGAGATGGGGGAGAGATGGGGGAGAGATGGGGAGAGAGGGGAGAGCAGGCCGATGACGACGCACTTTCCCTGAGGTAGGGGGAGAGATGGGGGAGAGATGGGGAGAGATGGGGGAGAGATGGGGAGAGAGGGGAGAGCAGGCCGATGACGACGCACTTTCCCTGCCCAGCGCCTCCTCGGTCAACGAGATGTGGGGAGATATGCGGGAGATATGGGGAGATATGGTCGCCTGCCGCAGCGCCTCCTCGGTCTCGTCGATCGCGTTGCGCGCCTTGATCGAGTTGAGCAGCTGCTTGAAGAAGGACTGGTGCGCGCCCCAGTAGAGGCGGAGCGGGTGGGCGCCGTCGCTGCCGCACATGTCGACGCACTTCTCGAGCGCCGTCAGCATGTCGTCCCACAGCTCGACGGCCTCGTCGTACAGCCGCTCGTTCTGCTGGTCGAGCGTGCACTCGCGCACCTCGAAGGAGCAGCCGGTGAAGGCGAGCATGCGCGAGACAAACATCCCGCGCGCCTTCATGTCCATCGCCAGCAACTCCATCGCCCCCACGCCCGCGCGCTCGATCTTGGCCGCGAAGGTGGAGAAGTCGGGGAAGGGCGTGCCGCGCCCCCACAGGCCGAGCCGAGACATGTACCCAAGGTCCTTGACCTCGGCGGCCGCCGTGGCGCTCACGTACAGCACCCTCGCCTGCGGCAGCTGCTTCTGGATGCCGAGCACCATCTCGCCCGTCTTTGTGCCCTTGCCGCCGCGGTCGAGCGCGAGGTTCTTCGCGCGGTGCGCCTCGTCGAAGCAGATGCAGCCCTCGAAGCGGGCGGGGTCGCCCGAGGCGGAGGCGGCCGCCCAAGTCACCAGCTGGTCGATCCGCCGCTCCGAGTGCTTGTTTTGCGCAATCAGCGACTGGTAGGTGCAAAACATGACGCCGTCGCCATAGTCGGCCGGGTCGAGCGGGCCGTACGGCAGCTTGTGCAGCGGGTAGACCTATGCGGACATGTCTAGGACGTGTCCAGGACGTGTCCAGGAAGTGTCGAGCTTGTGCAGCGGGCAGACGTTGATGTCGGCGCGGCCGAGGTCCCGAAAGTCGCGCTTGGCGTCGTAGTAGAGCGCCGTGGAGAGGGAGACCCAGATGGAGCGGTAGCGGCCCTGCGCCACGTTGTCGAGGATGATCG